CAGACAACACACTACTGTTTAGTGGTGCGAGTGGTTAAAACAGGTGACCCCCCCTCCCTCCAGGAGGCCTTCGGTCCGCTTTCGGGTAAACAATTACCTTGTGTTATTTTTTCTGTGAATTTAATAAAATTATTTGTTATTACCATATTTAACGATTTTTCCGAATTTAATTGTGTTGTTACACATGGTACTCACAGTTTCAGTAAAATAAGACACAATAAGCACAATTTTCTGAAGTTAGTAGCACAGCTTTTCAGCTATAAGAACAATGTACCTGATTAAGTTTTTACGGGTTTTTGAACTTATCGAGTTCTCGAGAGATGTTTGGAGTATCTCTAGACAACCCCACTGATGTGTCCATCATGCAACAATTGAAATATTCGGTATTATAAAGTTACTGAGTCTTCTTGTGTTCAGTTTGTATTTAGCTTTTCACCCACATCCTCAAATTGCTCAAATTGCATTCCGTTATTCACCCATATCCACACATTACTCAACTTGCATTCAGTTATTCACCCATATCCACACATTACTCAAATTGCATTCTGTTATTCACCCATATCCATAAATTACTCAAATTGCATTCAGTTATTCACCCATCTCTTCACATCACTCAAATTGCATTCAGTTATTCACCCATATCCTCACATTGCTCAAATTGCATTCAGTTATTCACCCATATCCAAACATTGCTTAAATTGCATTCAGTTATTCACCCATATCCAAACATTGCTCAAATTGCATTCAGTTATTCATCCATATCCATACATTAGTCACATTGCATTCAGTTATTCACCCATATCCATACATTGCTCAAATTGCATTTAGTTATTTACCCATATCCAAACATTGCTTAAATTGCATTCAGTTATTCACCCATATCCAAACATTGCTCAAATTGCATTCAGTTATTCACCCATATCCATACATTAGTCACATTGCATTCCATTATTCACCCATATCCACACATATTGCTCCAGTTACATTCTGTTATTCACACAAATTCACATGTTGCTCATATTGCGTTTAGTTATTCATCCATATTCACATAGTATATTTAGTTATGTCTTTATTGATTTATGTGTAATGAACCGTGTATCATGAAAAAAAAAAACGTCTCTTGGCGGTTGTATAACAAGCTTGTATTTATATTACGATGTTTCATTCTACTCTCTTCCCATACTCTGAGGTGAGAGATTTACTGCAATGTTGAATCAACATTTATATTTACATTCTTGTTAATTAGCTATGGTTTTGAGCGTAGCCGTGTACGTTACTAGTAGATGCAAGGCGAACTAAAACATTTATTTAATTATATTTTCGTGACTACGTATGATGTATAGCTTGATGTTTCCAGTGTTTTCGTTTGCACTTAGATAACAAGATTGACCACATTCGAAGGAACGTCTTGAAGAAATGAACGGAAATATGTTGTATAGGGAACTAATTAATCATTATTCGTGACTTACAAATTACCATACGCAAAAAACCTTTAGTCATTATTAACAAGAGCTCGACTGTTACTTTCTACTTGTTCAAGATGACTTCAATACCTACTTTTCACTGTAGCGTTTTAAAAACCCTATTGTGGCAAGAACGTTTCTTGTAAAATATTCGCCTTACTAAGACCAATTGAGAAATATCTATAATCGCATATATGAGAGTTACTATTATTTTTGAAGGCAGCTTTTTCTTCTTTATCTAGAAGTGAATTACGATATTGCAGTCACATCGAACTGAACTATTTGTATATAATTGTTTAACTTAGTAAACAAGAAAAACAAAACATTACGTTATCACTGAAGTGTTAGGAATGGCAAGTTAAACTTCTTTGTTAGTTGTTTTCTCCAAGTGTTGAGAAAATTATTTATTTCTGTCATTATTTCTACACTTTATCAAGCCTTAAACTCTTTACTGTCAGTATTATTGATGACACTATTATTAACCCTGACGATGCCACAACACATTAAGTTTTATTTATTTGCACTCTTGACAATACAGGCTTAAAAGTGCTTATGAACACTTCGTATTTTGATAGGTGCCAGGGTTTCGAATGTTAAAAGTGCCATCGTCGTGAGGTTGCAAAATGATCTTGAGTTATGCTACAAGTTATTTGAAAAAGTCGGGAATAGTATATTATCTTTCGGAGATGGCTGTAAGCTAGCTCGAAATTGTCTGTTGCTGAAATTTTGCTACAAATCTAAATTCCCTATCTTCATCTTTTGTATCAACTGGGTCACAAAAACCCCTCCAAAAAAATCCGTATCCAGAATTATACATGGAAGAGAAATAAAATCTGACTTAATTTTACTTAATGCCGAATAGGATTACGAATTAAAACTTTCCATTTTTGAACGAAATAGAGAGTGATAAAAAATATTAAGCTCTCTTTTAGCGGTAACTGAAGAAAAGACTTCAGTATTTGTATCAGATATAATATATAATAAGTTGGAGAGCTTTAAAACTAATATGTATCTGCTACTAACCTTAATATAGAAACTGTTACTGCTATTACCGACATAATTCAGCCAATAAAAACAGAACTTCGTGTGCTTCATATCACTTTGTTGCCATGATGGCGTAGCCATCCTTTTCAGTCAGCTAGGCCCTCAGTTACATCTAGAAAATAAGAAAAATAATCACCTCTCCTACCTGAGGACGGCCTGTCGGAGTACCGAGTGCAGTACACCCAAGCCGGCCACACCAGCGGTGCCATCGTCTTACTGGGACTAGGAGGCTGTGGGGACAGGGTTTTGTCGGCGCCGACACTGTCAACCCGCTTCTTTCGAGCATGTCGACCAAAGTCCGGAGACAAGATTTTCTCGATTGAGAACTTCAGGGCTCGAGTTGTAGCAACGGGGTCGGCGATGTCCGATTCTTGATTTTCGGGACTCGGCGCCATAGACAACTCTTGCCGCTTACCCTCTGTACGCTTCTGCAAGTCTTGGGGTTCGGGACTACTGGGCGTGCTGTGTGGATGGTCAGTGTCTTGAGCCATCCTGCTTGTCCACGTGCACACTTTTAGCCTGCACTGTTCAACTTATGTTTCTCTCAAGCTCTCTATCCTCCAAAACACCTGCTCATTCCTATAGTACGTTGATCAGCTCCCCCCAGCGGCGAATAGAACAGTGAGTCAGTTGACAGTAGCCGCGTAATCTGCTTTGTGTGACCTGGGGTCAACTGATGTCTCCTGTATTTCTCGGACGACACTCTTCTCTGCTTTTTATACACAGTTGTCTCTGAGCCATGAGTTGAGCTGAGAGGCACGACTATCATTACTCTCGTGAACGGCGGGCAACAGCACGCGCTTTTGCTATGGCCCTTCCCCCCTCTTCTTAGCAGCGCGAAGCCACCAATCACATTGTGTGCAGTGCCACAGCCTCTCCGGTGTTGGCTGTTGTTATTGAAATATCATCGCGTGTTGTTCGCGAAGGTGGACCAAGTCTCAATCGTGGTGCGTGATGGGATAATTTCTCCACTCGCTTTGTTCTTACGTCACTCGTGGAGATTTAACATCTAGTTTAATTAGAAAAAGAAACCAACTAAAGGTAAGGTTGTTATATTTGATGTAACGTAGAACTCCGAGCAGTCACTTTTCGAAAGTATAAGAGAAACTAAGCATCTGTTACTTGGATGTTGCCGTATCAAAAAGGCTTATATTATAATATAAGATAAATATATACATTGTAGGTCAAAATATTCATACAACCCCAATAAACGGTGTCACTTTTACATCTATGTTGTTGTTTTTTTGTATGAATATAATCATAGAAGAATTAATTCAAAATAGCGACTAAATCACATATATATTTGTATATAATAGCAATCCTATTTTTTAAAGTGGTTAGCGTGCCCAGACTGTGAATCAGAGGGTTCATGACCCGCACTTTGAGGCTTTAAGATGCGCTATAGTTGTGACAGTCAAATCCCACTACCGGGCCATATAGGAGTAGTTTTTGACTAGTTGTTTTCCCTCGAGTCCATCAATTCAAAACTAAAGACGATTATGCGTAGACAGACTTTGCCGAAAATTCTAAATATATATATATATATTCTCTATATTTTTTTAATATTCTAAGTATGGTCAATAAACACAGAAAACAAATAAATTACGATTTATTTAGTGCGAAATTTGAAATTCTGAATTGTTTTGAGTGAAACAATTCAAATTTTGTTTCACAATAAAAACATACAGTATACGTAGTTGTATTTATTTCTAATAGAACAATGTTAGTGATTTATTATTTGCAATTTTCAAGAATAAATATTCAAAACGTTTCTACAAACGTTTATTTGATTAGAACAAAACCAATTTAAAAACTTTTTCTAATGCAAAATCATTGTACACAAAATGCATAAATTAACACAGTCTATAAAATGTTTATAATAATCTTTATCAGTTAGTACCCAAAGACTTGAAGACTCAGCAAGGCGTGAGAAATAAACTATTAATACTATTATCAATACTACTAATAATTGTTTTAAAGAATGAAAAACTAAAGTTACATATTTGCCTAATTCGTTTCCTACTATTTAATAGCTGATAGTTTTTACCTCTTACTTTTACCATCTCTTACTTTAGAAGTATCGTTAGGGTAACTTATTAATCGATGATGGTTTAGAACTTCTTAAAATGTACCAATCATTAAAAATAGCATATAGTAAGAAACTATATACCCTTCTAACCTGGATTACGTCTAATAACCTGTATTTATATTAAGGTTAAAGGCACTGAAACGACTTTTTATAGAAACATCAAATGCTTTGATATATATATCTGTTGGATAGTTTGATATATACATGTGTGTGTATAGGTATGAACTTATACGATTAAACAAAAGTCACAAAATGTCAAAATCTGGGGACACCTTAACTGGCAAGCTTGGACGAAATTTATTATAAAAACAAGAGTTAATGTTTTCTGAGAAGACAAAGAGAAAATCACAAGCTGGTTTCATTGCAAAGCGTCAGATAAAAATGTATAGTTCGCTTCAAGTTCTGGATATTTAAAACAATCATAAGAATAATTCACACGTTATTAAATAAATATAAACATGAAACTAGATAACATTTGAAACGTCAGTTTTTACCAGTCACAGCAATATGAGCCGAATAAGCAAAAACAAGTAAAATTTTATTTTCGAATCATTTGCCGAAATAATTTATATGTGTTGTAAATATATTATAGTCCCTTAATAGTTGTCAAGGGGACGTTGATGAAGATAGTGAAGGCCATAAACAAAGAGCTGTAGGAATGATGAGGAACGGTAGATATATCAGAAACTAGAATTCATTCCTGATTGAAAAAATTTATGGTGACCAATAAACTCGAGGAACCGTCATAAAACAATTCCTATTGTATTCTGAAATGGAGTTTCTTCTGGCAGACAAGACTGGCTATGATGACCACTGGTCATCGCGTCCTGACCCAATTAGGTCTGCTGTGCACCAAAGTACCGTCCCAGTGTGTTCTGTTTCAGTAATTATTATTATTATCCTCTAGGCCTTAGACTAATAAATTGTATAGGTAGGGCAACATTGAACTTAAACTGTGAAAGGTTGTTCCAAATTTGAACAAAGTCGACAACATTTCAAAGAGGTACATTCTAAACTATGAGAAAGTTGATGCGCCCTCTGTGAAATGCGCAAAAATGTATATCTAATATTTAAGTTTCAGTAGTAAACAACTGTGAAACAAAAAAATATTAGATACTTAAATAAAAACGTACTATACGTGTCATATAATTTTTTTGATTAGGTTCAAAAGCATACAAATAAGAAAATAGCGACTTCTTAAGCTGGGATTCAAACAAAGTGGCACTTGAGCTATACCACCACAATCCCCTTCCCCCTCTCCTCCTCAGAAATCATCCCTGATCAAATATACCATGTTTTAAGGTATCTGTTATTAAATATATCATACAGTTAATGAATAGGCCTAAAAAGCTAGCTTTAGACTTAAGTTCTCTTTAGGCTGGTACATGTAGTTAGTTCATTAGGCTTAATTTTGTTGATGAATATTGAGATTTTTTTCACTTTTAGTATTTTAAATTAATGTTATTACTATATACTATTTTAATAGTTTCCAAACATTTGTTTACTGGAACTTTAATTTTTAGGAAACTTATTAACAATGAAATGCCCTCCGCCCCCTCAAAAAATATCATACGTCATTTACAAATAAACTTTTTAAGGTATACATTTTCAATTCAAAGTTATCTTTCTAAGTAGTTTTGTTTCCCCCGGGTTCAAAGTTATCGACATGTACACGTTTTGACGAACAGGTACATAATTTGGTCTTCCTTCACTAGTGTGTCACCTTTCTAGTTACATAGCTCGATACATGTCAGTATGTGATGTTTTTATCTCCGCCACCGAAGGTGGACTGAGGTTATGTTTTCACTCCTTTGTGTGTGTTTGTCAGCAAGATTTCTCAAAAAGCGACTGAATGATGTGGACAAAAGTTGGTATACATTTGACTATGACACAACTTAGAAGTGATTAGTTTTTGGAGGGTCAAGGTCATAGCAAGGTCACGAAAATCTAAAATCCCTAATCCCTATTTGTTAATCTGGGGACCAAATGTTTACACTATTTTTGCCCTATAACTCAGTCAAAAATTATTGTATTTTGATGAATCTTGATGGACATGTGTAGAATATTATTTCTGATTGTCCTACCAAACATTGTCCCTGTCTGTTGATAACGACGGACCTACGAACACATTTTTTGAGAGCCGAATATAATCAACGCTGCGTGGCGACGGTATGCACTCTACTCTCAGAGCGCCTCTAGTTTCTCATTTTAAAAGTAATTTTTATAATAAGCTAGTCGCAAGTAAACATATCACATTCGAGGAATATCTGATTTTATCATATAATTAAGATTTGTAATTAAATAATTGGTACATTATATAATAGAATTTAATGTTTACGGCAATGTTTAAGAAGTTTTGCAGGTTTTTATAGCATGCCTTCTGTAGGAGTTCCATGGACAATCAAAGTAGAAACCAGGCACAAAATGTGCGTATGTGGGCCATATGTGTCTGTTTGATATCTGGATAATAGTGGAGTTAAGGTTCGTTTGGGCTATCTGCTGTGTCAATCACGGGGAACCGAACCCAGGAGTTTAGCGTTGTAGGTCCGTAAACTTACTGCTGCCCCATTAAATGACAGAGAGTTAGGGTAAACTAATGTCTGAATATTAATTCTAGCAATATACAATATAATTTTAAGTGTAACGTTTTGATAATACATGTTAGGCAACATCTTCCATAAAAATGTTTTAGAAAACTATTCAGATTAATTACAAAATTGCGTTATCTCATAGTTAATCCGATTGAAGATATTTGATAATGATTCCAGCAAATTTTGGGGTTGTTTGATTGCTACATTTGATGCATTTAATGACTACAAAGTCCTAATATGTTACTATTATAAAACTACTACTAAATATAACCTTTTATATAGTATAGGATTTTTTGCATTAGACATTACACCTTAAGCTGCGTGTGATTAAAAACCTCGGATAATTCTTGGTTGTTAGACCAGGTTATAACAACATCTAATGACGCCCCTGACTTCCAATAAGTAGACCCAGGATCTAATTTCAGCCACTACCGACATACAAAATAATCCTTTCTCGGGACTTTCCTGAAGATTGCAGCATATTATTATCCGAATCGTGGGATAAAAATTAGTTAGTAATTAGTATTTAATTAGCTAATAATAATAATAATAAGTTAGTAACTAATAAGTAGACTTAGATAATCGTATAGGCTAGTAAACATGACAATGATGATCATCAATGTTTCAATAAACGTATCGTTTAGTTATCACAATCTGATAAGTCTCTTTCAATTACTAGTCTATTATTACACTTAAAGGGAATATGTTATGTTAAGTTACTTTGTAATAGAAATATTGTACAAACATTAGATATGCTCAATCGCAAAAATGTCATGTCAAAAGCATGTAACTACTTCCTGCGTGATTTCCATAAGCCATCTAGTGTACGAGGACGATGGGTTCATAGCGCCAGTTTCTAATAATTCAATCGCACATAATTACATAGGCTCTGCGTCTGGCGACTAGGCCAATATGTCTTCGTAAATAATAGCATGAATACCCATTTTATTCTCCAGCTCCTTGAGGTCTTGCGTCTCGTTTTCCAAATTGAAATACTTCTTAATTATGTTGCCTACTGTTCCCTAAGACAGGTAGACGACATTTTTCTACTGGTCTTCCTGTTCATGAATCCCCATCTATTTCAAGACACACTTCACTTTGCTTACCACGACTAGAATACGACTTATTGCAAGCCCCTTTCTCT